TAAATATTTTTAATAAAATAATAATAAATATTTTATTTTTATATTATCCAGGAGTAGATCATGCTATTAATTTTATAAAAAATATAAAAAATAAAAAATAATAAATATTTTAAAAATTCTTATACTAAATAAATTATTTAAAATTTTTAATATTATAAAAAATCTTGATTAATCTACTAAAAAAAGATTTTATTTAGATAAGTAATTTTCTAATAATTATTTTTATTTTATTTATTTTAAAATTTAATAAAAATTTATAGTTTTATATAAATTACTAGACTCTTAATTAAATAATAATAAAAAATTATTATTTTTTATTATTAATTTAAAAAATCCTTTAGTGTATTTTCTAGATTTGTTTTTTTATTAAATTTAATATAATTTAAATTTTCCACTGTATTTAGATTAAAAAAAAATAAATAGAAAATAATATTCTAAACTTATTTTAAATTTTTTAAATAATTAATTATTTTTTTTAAATTTATTAACTATTCTAGTATCTTTTAATAATATGTTAATTAAATATTATAAAAATTTCTAAATAAATTTTATTTTATTTATATTAATAATATTCTTATTTTTATAGATAGAAGCTTGTTGTAATATTATTTTTAAATCTAAAAGATTCTAGAATAATTATATAAAATAAAACTATAAATAGATATTAAAAAATAGTTTATATAATATTTTAAATAATAAAAAATATTTTTTTATTATTTATTATTTTAAAACAGACAGTGCCACTAAACAAAGAATTATAATAATTAAGATTTTTCTAAGATAATTTATTAACTAATAATAAAATAATTAAAAAAAAATTATTATTATTAATATAATTAATCCTGAATAACTAAAACTTAATATTAATTAAAATAAATCTTTTCTTTTTCTAATATAAATTTTATATAAAACTTTTTAATCTAGATATCAAGACTGATTTTCTAGAAAATTATTAAATAAAGAATCTATAGAAATAGGCTAAAATAATTTTTAAAAAATTCTAAGAAACTTAAAATATTATTAATTTAATAATAATTTTAGTCTAAGAAATTTAAAAAAAATATATTAATTATTATTAAAATCTTATTTTCTATTACTAATTATAAAATAAAATATAATTTAATCTAAAAAATATATTTACTAATTAACTAAGTAAAAAATTAAATTAATAAAATATTAAATTTATTATACTTAAGACTATAGATACTTATATTTATAAATTAGATATATTTAAAGAGATTTATTTAATTTTTTATATAAATTTATTTTATTTAATTATTATTAATTTTTTATTATTTTAAAAACTAATAAACTAGCAGCCAGATGTAGTTATTATATATAATAATATTAAAGAATATACTATTAAAAAAATTATTAATAAAAAAAATATTTCTAAAAGAAAGTATTGTTATAAAAAAATATTTTTAATTAAATAAATAAGATTTAATATTTTAATTTAAGAACCTGTATAATATTTTTATAATATAAAGATTTATAAAAAATAAAAAATAATTTATTTTTATAATTTTTTTTATTTTTTATAAAATTCTATTATGTGATTCTGCCCATAATTATATTATTTAAAAAAAATAATTAAAAAAAATTAAATCTAATTAATTATTTAAAACTAAAATATTATATATTTTAATTTATTTAGTTCTGAGACTATACTAGAAAAAATTAATAAAATAAAAAATTTTTAAAAGAATTTTTTATAAGAAATACAGAAGAATAATTATAAAATAATTAAAAAAAATAAATAACTAGATTTTATTTATACTAGATAATCTTTCTTCTTCAGTGAATTAATTCTTTTTAAACCAGATTTTATATCTGACTCATTACAGCTTCTTAGCCCTTCACACTGCCTAGCGTTCCCAATAATAAATAGTATTACAGTACATACATATCATAGCAAGCTGAAAGGCGGTGCTGAAGCGCTGCCGCTTACACTACTTTATAAGAGTTATAATGGAAATTAGCCAATCATTATTGTTAAAAAAAAAGCAACAAAATAAAAGAAAAGCAGATGAGATGAGATGAGATGAGGGGAGAAAAAATTACATTTCATATTATTAGCGTTCAAGTTATTTATCTGGAATGGACTTTTATGCAGACCCTAATTCGAATGGGGAGAGGGGAAGTCTAAAAGTGATGGGGTAATAGCTGGCAGAATACCCGCAGGCGGCGATGAAATAACCAATGAGAAAGGCGGAAAGAGGAAAGAAAGGTAGACAAAAGACAACACTTGACCATATCGATATATCCTTGATTTATATGATTGATATAGCCAACAAAAACAAAACCAAAAAGTTCTGACAAGGATGGGATTCGAACCCACGCTCTTTCGAACTGGTGTTTCAGTAATTGTATTACCTAAAACCAGCGCCTTAGACCACTCGGCCACCTTGCCGTAGTTATAGTATTCTCACTACTAGAATGTTGTTATAGAGATAGAACATTTGTTGTTTACCTATACTAGAGCTCGCTGATATCGAAATTTCCTGGCTGGTCTTTAATTGTGCAGGAAGCGGGTGTCCCGGACGAAGCATCATCTCTGGGTAATTGAGAAAGCGGTAGGTATGCTGGAATGTCGAGGTTCTAGTTTTGGTCTTCTTTTTATGCCTTATTGCAGCCCAATAAATGGAATTGGATTCTCGAATCGGATTAGCCAAGACACAAAGTCACATTAGCTGGACTGGCCTTCTTCCAAACGAGGTGAGATGTTTTGCTCCATTACTTGATGGCTTTCCGAGAGCTTCATTACTCATGCTGCCTAGGCTCGTTCATGCTAAACTTTTTTTTTTTTTAAAAAAAAAAAGAAGTCCGTAGCCTGAATTACAGTATTCTGAAGGCAAGCTATCCGCACCAAGCATATCTCATGTTGTCGGATGGCCTCACTAGGCGGGAAAAGCAGTTTCCCAATGCATAAAAAGTTATGGCTGCCCTTCTCCCTCTAAAGAACCAGGTTGCATAGCCAGGATATTTTCTTTGTTTCTGTTCCATTCTGCAAGGATGGGTTCGCTGATGGATAACTTTTGCGCAGCAGGTGCGAGCGATACAGGAGTCAATTTACCGCTTTCTCGGCTCACATGCCTGGCTTCTTCTAAATATTCCAAGGCATGGATTTATCTTTGCGCGAAAATTTAAAGCGTATCTTTTATATCTAGGTAACTCTTCATCTCTTTAATAAGCAGCCCAATGGGTCCCTTCTTTCCGCATGATATACAGCTGATCACATTCATTCAAGTCAGTGATTGGATATTGATGAATATCATTAAGACCTATCAGTATCATTAAGCACCTGATCTCCGAGCCTGGGTACACCTCCAGATATCACAGGATTGTTTCTACTGTTCTTTGACCTTTCTAGAATAAAAGGTAAAGAGCGATAGCACTCTTCTGATGCACCATACATCATACACCTACTGACTTCTGCCTTTTACTTAGCAAGGATTATTGTCAATTTTTTATTCAACATATACGCCTGGAACCGATGTCACAGGATTATTTTCATGTCAGTCGTACAGAGAGATAAAACAATGGGCAACCCCCGGCAGACTGAAGCCGCAAAATCCCCTGAATAAACATACCAAAAGCCATATCCAATCTCAAATGCCAATCTGAGCAGGTCAACATTAAAAGACATACACTATTCCGAAGTCTGCACAACAAGTAGACATCTAGATACCCATATCAAGAATCTGACTACAGTCAACCTCCATTGAGGTTTCAGCTATCTAAGTTCTACACTGGAAGAGGAAGCATTATCATCCAAAAGTTTAATATCTCTCCGTATCCTGGATCATTGACATTGATCGGCCTGGAGTAGGAAAATTTTCATTGATTGAAGAACTTGATGTACTCGTGCAGTTTCTGACTTTCAGAGGAGATGTGCAGATTTATTTTGAAATTAGGAAGAATGCCATCCTGGTAAATCTCATCGGATGAATTATCAAAGGTACTCTCAAGTTGTTCTCTGCTTAATCCTAATGGAAAGAATAAGTGCCGGAGACCTGAAATTTGCTTCAAGTATGTGGTATCTAACTACAGACTCCACAAAAGTGATTCCTCTACGGTGTACATAGCCGAGACAGAGATGATGTGGGATAACCGTGACAGCCTAATTGCTCAGCAAGTACCACGGTCATCCCGCTCGAAAGCTTTCTTTCTTCCGCACACTTATTTTTGGAACATCCTATCAAAAACGAGGAAAATGGAATTTAACGGGGATGGTTGTACAAGGCTCTGCAGAGGTACCACTGACAATGTCTTGCTAGAAAATATGCTAATGCGAGACATTGAGCCTATGGAACATACAGGGGTCTCTGCATTTAGTGTCCACATCAAACGGCCAGGAGCCTCGAGCCTTACGAGGTAGTCCACCATTCCTCACTCCCTGATCATATAGGCACAAGGCGTCCTAGCGGTGTGCCTTGGCAAGATAATGTTACCCGATCACCAGGACCAGGCTGAGGATCACATGGGAATCCTGCTCGTACCAACCTGTCTGAGATTTTGAAGAAGACTACTTTGCTAAGGGGTTAGACCAATACTATGATCTGTTGAGATACAAGATGCTAATAATCCTGGCATATTTCCAACGCCAATATTATTGCTTCGCTTCTTACAGTAAAGAGCCAGGCTCAGTACAGATAGTTATAAGGTCTTTAAGGAATACCACTACGCAGTCCATTCTAGTGTGTTGAGTAGACTCGTATGGTAGGTTCTGCGATCTGGGCCCTGTAGACGCTGCCTGACTGCCCGGTTTGAGTCCTTGATTTCCGTTTACACATGTGCAATCCTAAGCCATGCACAGTATGCTATGGAAGGTTGCTTTAGGTCGTGCACAACGGGCACAGACCTCTTGCACACAGGTAGCCAGATTCTCTCAGCCAGAAGCTTGAAATTGATAGGCTGGCATTTGACTGCGTGGGATCTGTAGTCATACCTGGTGCAACCCTCCCGGCTCAACACAGCCTACAGCTCAACGTCATAGGTACATTTTGTGTCGCTTTCCGATACTAATGATACTTAGCGAAAGACTTTGAACAACTTCACCAATATTGAATCTGTGACTTTGAAACCTCGATATGGTATGCACATCTCTATGAGCCACTCCAACTTCGATTTATTCCAAACTTGAAGTGATGTCTTGGATTCTAGCTTGGGTATTGTTAGAACTATAGCATTCCCTGGTCTTTACCGCTAAAAGTAAGATTCAAGTACATCTCTATCGTCTGGTATAGACTACTGCCTCGAAGATGAAACATATCAAAGTCACAGTCACGTCTCCCCCCGCCGTGATGTAATCTGAATTTCAGAACAATAGCATCTCGTACCGGAACCCCATATCGCGAAGTACCCCACATCATGCCATCTATTGCGTTGGACTGTCAAGGTCGTACTAGGTGCAACCCTGGAGAATCCAGGGGCGTCGCCTGTCAAATCTCGAACATGGGCGACCGTCGGAGGCTTATACCTTGGCCAAAATACGACCAGGCCCTAATCCCCACGTTCCTCAACCTCTGGCTTAAAGACTGCGCCAGATCCACGACTTCCCACTGCATCAGACAATCCTTCCTCCTTCAAAAGTCCATCGATCAAAAGCACTCCAAGTCTCGTCTTACAATTCAACGGTTTCTCGAGCTCCCATCCTTCGTATCCACTCACTTTCTCGATTGGTAAGGATACCCGCCCACAACGAGTCCCAAGGAACATTCTTGGACTTGGACTGATTGGCTCGTATCATATAAGAACCTCAACATGGTTGTCGGCCAGATTTCCGATCACTCAAATGAGCGAGAAAGCATGTATGCCCCATGCGGCGTACTGGATTTCAGTGCACCTCCAAAGCAACCCCCGACTGAGGACCCCGAGAGCGTGTATACCCGATGCGCCAATTGGAATTGCAAGAATACCCAGGTTCAGCGTGGGACTAAATGCCCCATTTGTGGTTGGCCAAGTCCGTGGAATTGAGGCATGGTCCTGTGTTCTTGGTTATTCGTCTGCGTTCGCGTACCCCAGAATGTCGGTCCTTATGTAAGGTAGCAAATGTCACTGTCTTCACACGCAATACTCCGTTCTCTTCCCAGTATAGTGGTACCGCTGTGTTGTCAGACCAAAGACAGTGATGAGAAGCTTAGACTTTACCAAAGCGTTCTACTGTGCACGGATTGGAGATACATCAAAAGTTCATCGTGTAGAACCTCCAGCTTTTAGACACGAGATAATAACAGCAATCCAACAGCCCTGTAGAATCAAAAAATAAAGAATTCCCTGAAAGTCTCGGTGGTCAATCTGGATTTGTCGCCCACACACACACACACACACACACACACACACACACCCCGCGCGCTCTCTCTCTCTCTACAAGCCCAACAGGAGATGTAGAGGAAAAGAGGTCTCTCAGAGACGCGAGTCTTCATCACTCCCGACTCCTTCCAGCAACTTGGAATAAAACCCCAAAAACCCCTGTCGGTACATTCCCATTGCATAAGATATGTGCTCCCGTCTAGAGTCCTGCAGCGCGGATGATAGAGTATATCCCTCGGTCAGACCTCGCTCCTCTTCTATTTGTTTCACAATTTCGATGTAGTGTTCCCTATCAGCAAGCCTTTCTCTGAGGTCCGCGTCTTTCGGGTAACCATTTTCGTCATAGAAACACGGCGGGCCAATGGCAGGTGGAGTCATCGAAAGACATAGAGGAAATTCAGCTGATCGTACACATGGTACTGCAGATGTAGATTCCCAATCAATAACACCAACCATGTTGTATTCATCGTCAAATACAACATTATTATGGCCAAAGTCGCCATGGCGTAATGGAAACGGGCCTGTGTTATTAACAGATAGCCATTCGGCATGATCATTGATCAATGTTCTGAACTTTGACGCAGAGGATAATAGCTCCTCGGCGTCTGCGCCAGCATTTTGTCTGGCTTCCTCCAGTGACAGGCAGTATTCGGCTGTAGCAGACCAGGCTTTGAAGTACTCCGTGGCAGTATCAAAAGGACCACCAATGCCTGGGATTGGTCCCAGCTGATACGAGCCATCCTCGTTTCTTCCAATAATCATTCCGATCTTGGGCAGCCCAATGCGGAACAACTCGACCTGGATAGCGTCAGATTCGAACCATGGTTTGCTGGTGCAGTGAACATACCTGGGCTTCTGCTAATGCAGTATAGATCTTCAACTTGTGTTCAGGGGGAATATCCCAACACAAATCAATTCCCGCATTGCCTTTCAGACATTCCATGAACATGAACGGGACTCCGACACTGGATTGGGGATCGTCCTCACACACATAGACTTTAGGGACGGGAAGCCTGCTCTTTTCTTGAACAAGTCGAATTGTCATGTACTCCCGCTCCACTTTTCCCCATCTCATTGTTGGTTCATGATCGTCAGAGA